CCGCCGCAGCGGCTGCCGCATTTGGTCGCGGCTGGCCGCGAGACGCGTCAGCAGCGGCGGCAGGCGCACATCGCCGCGCAAAATCACAACCGGCGGCAGCGCGGCGGCGCGCCGCTGCCGCTCACGGACGGCACGAGCGTCGCGGCGCGGCAGCCTGTGAGCCTCAAGGACGCGGGGCGGGCGCGCTCTGCGCCCCTCAAGAACGGCGGCCTGGCGCCCAACACCAACTGGTGAGGGCTTTGCTGCCACATCGGGCCTTGCGATGTCAAGCTTTGTACCAGGATGTCAGTACACACAGGCTCACAGACGCTGCGCTGGCCCTACCTTTGTGGCACGCACTGCAATGTGTCTGGCCGCCGCCGGCAACAGCAGCCCCGCCCCTCAACGCACACGTTGGCCCCCCTCCATCACAACCCGCGCCCGCCGCCTCCCCGCCTTCCTGCCGCCACGCCCTCCCCATGCGTGTGCCGCCAGGCTGGCGCTGCCGGCCCTGGCGAAGGCCAACGTGCGCGCGGCCGAGGACGTGTCTGTCGGCGGCGTGCCCTGGTCGGTCTACAGCGGGCTGGTGCGGCGCTCCCTGCCGGCCGCGCTGCTGCTGGCGCTGGCGGCGCTGATCGTGAGCCCGCTGGTGGGGCTCATGGCGAACTTCCTGCTGGCCAAGTGGTGAGGGTTTCCTGGTCTGTGTGTATGGGGTCTGGTGTGCAATGGAGGAGGGGAGCAGTTTGCTGAGGGGAGGGGAGGGGAGCAGGGCGAGGGGCTGAGAGGGCGGCGTTCCGCCCCCTCAGGGTGCGCAATGGGGAGTCGGGAGGATGTAGACTGCAGAGCTTGACAGTCCTGCATGGACTGGCAACCTCTCAGTGCAAATGACGCAGCCGTGGTTCTGAATTGCTCGTTGAAGAAACGAGTATTCACCATCACACGTGGCTCAAAACTCATACGTGCAACTATTCACACCAGCCGGGCACCAGCCAGGCCTCCGGCTGTGTGTCTGCCCACAAGCAACACACACACTCGCACACACACACGCGCGCACACACACACACACACACACACACACACACACGCACACACACGCACGCACACAGCGCGCGCACAAACATACACTCACTTATGCCCCTCGCCCCCCTGCACCCTCAAACCTGTCGCAGGGTGACTGAGGACCCCTCAGGCATCATCGTGACCCTGGCCTTTGGCCACCAGTACCTCTCCACCTCCTGGCGCCCCCACTGGGTCGTGCGCTACGGCGGCCTCACCCTCATCTCCGTCACCACCTGCCTCCTCGGCTTCGTCCTCGCGTTCGCCGCCCTCACGCACGGCGCCGGCGCCGCGCACGACGCGGCGCTGCGCGGCGTGCTGCGGGCGCCACTGTCGTTCTTCGCGTCCAACGCCGCCGGGTCGATCCTCAACAGATTCTCGGGAGATCAAAAGGCACTCGACGACGATCTGCCGGAGACCCTGGTGGATCTCTGGGCGGGGTTCATGACCCAGGCGGCCAGCTTTGCTCTGGCCATCGTCGCATTCCCGCCGATCGCCGCGGCGATCGCGCCCGCGCTCGCGCTGCTGTGGTGGCTGCGCACGATGTACGTGCGCGCGAGCGCGCAGGCGCAGCGGCAGGAGGCGGCGGCGCGGTCGCCGGTGATGGTGCGGATGCGGGCGATGGTCGAGGTGCGTGGCGATGAATGGTTGTGGATGTAGATTGGAGTGGGAGGATGCAGCCTTTTTGGGATTGGCAGCGATTTGGCTGACATGACCTGCAGGACAGAACAGACCGAGGGGAGTGCCATCGCGCTAAGGCTTGGCGCCTAGACTTGTTCAACTGCGCAGTGGGCATGCAGATACAGGCACACCGTTGTGCTGCATCGGCGCCGGGGGGGGGGGGGGGCTGCCCCCTCTTACATCGCTTACCAGGCACCCCCACCCCCTCCCCATGCGCCCCAACCGCCACCGCCCCTGCCTCGCCGCCGCCGCCGCCGCAGGGCCTGATGACGATCCGCTCGTTCGGCCCGGGGGTGCGGCAGCGCGTGCAGGACGGCATCCTGGAGTCTCTGGCCGAGGCGCTAGAGTGGTCCCTGGCCACGCGCGGCCTGCAGCGGTGGCTGGGGGTGCGGCTGGAGGCGCTCGTGCTGGTGGTGACGGCGGTGATGTCGTTCGCGTCAATGGGGCTCATCGCCAAGGTGAATTTGTGTGTGTGTGTGTGTGTGTGTTTGTGTGAGAGAGTCAGAGAGAGAGAGTCAGAGAGAGAGAGTCAGAGAGAGAGAGTCAGAGAGAGAGAGTCAGAGAGAGAGAGTCAGAGAGAGAGAGTCAGAGAGCGAGAGAGAGAGAGAGAGAGAGAGAGAGAGAGAGAGAAAGAGAGAGTGTGTTTGTGTAAGAAAGAGTCAGAGAGAGAGAGAGAGAGAGAGAGAGAGAGAGAGAGTGAGCGCACACGCGTCTGCGTGACGCGTGTGCGTGCGTGCGTGCGTGCGTGCGTGCGTGCGTGCGTGCTGGGCAGCTCAGCCTGAAGTATACGATACTTGCGTCCTGCATTGCCCTAAATCACTGCCAAGGCGATGCAACCCCGCGACGACCCCACACCATCACGCCTGCAGGTTGCACCGACCACGCTGGGTCTGGCGGTAAGAGGGGAGCTCTGTCACGGCACCGCCGCCTGCGCTGTTGCCACGCCGCTGTCCGCGCAGCATCAGGGCTTGCCGCCCGTACCCTGCCCTGACTCATGTCACGTCACATTGATTTGTAACGCCAAACAGCTCCCTCTAACTGGAGCATAAGTTATCTGCGCCGATCTATCTGAACCATTAAACACATGCACGTCAATGTGCCCGCACATACGCACGCACACATGCACACGCGCACACGCCCCCACAAATTCACGCAAACACATGCACATACTCACTCCGATGCCTTCTCCTCCCATTTTGTCACGTCCACCTCCCCCGCAGCTGACCAAGCTCACCAGCACGCTGGGCGCGCTGAGCTGGGTCATCCGGCAGAGCGCTGAGCTTGAGAACGCCATGACCAGCGTGGAGCGCCTCTGCGCCTACGGCCGTGTGCGCCCAGAGGAGGAGGAGGTGGACGGCCCCCCCGCCCTTGGCGGCAAGGGGCCCGGCGGCAGCCTCGAGCTCGGCAAGGGCGGCGGCAAGGGCGGCGGCAAGGGCGGCGGTGGGGGCAGTTTGAAGCTCAGCGGCAGCCTGAAGATCAGCGGGAGCGTCCAGATCGCCATCGGCGGCAAGGGGCTGCTGCGGCTGGTCCGCAGCGGCAGCGTCAAGTCTGCGGCCCCGACGCCGCCGGAGGGGTGGCCGAGCAGCGGGGCGGTGGAGTTTGAGGGGGTGGTCGTGCGCTACCGGCCGGGGCTGCGGCCGGTGCTGGCGGGCGTGAGCTTCAAGCTTGAGCCGGGGCAGATGATGGGCGTGGTGAGCTGCGCCAGCCGGTGGCCTTGCCTTTCTTGTCGCCGAGGTTTTAGAGGGGGTGCTGCCGCGAGCTCGCGCCATGTCGACAGGGAGGGCAGGCGAGCCCTACGCCGCAATGGTTAGGCTTGTCGAGCGCCGTGCCAGATGACTGCTCGCACATTCCATTACCATACAAGGCCGCCTGCAAACGCCCCCCCCCCCCCC